CTATCATAATACAAACTCATAAACAAAAGCATCCACTGACCCAAGAATACTCAATCAAAATAGATTGCAGAATTTACATAAAAAAATCCCTTCGGATTTCTCACTTGATGTAGTTTTAATATCTCCTCTGTTGAAAGATGTTCTAGAGATGAAAGCAACAATCGTTTTAGGAACGCCCGGTCTTTAATTTTCTTTTCATCGCTGTGACCCCTTTAAAGAAATATATAATGAATAGCCCGTATTGTAGGGACATTAAAAAAAATGTTTCGTTTCGTGATTCGGTTATTAATATACAGTTTTCTGTATTCCTTTATTGCTGTGATAATGGGTTCGCGGAATTTGCACAATACATTGTATTGTTCAAATTGTTTATGAAACAATGACGTGGTAGTAGGTCCAGGTTCAAATTCAAATCATCTATATACAAATGGACTTGTTAACAAATACTTTTAAATCATATATTTTTTAAATCGACTATCTAAGTTCAAATACGATTTCTTAAGATTTGCTTTGTTTGGTTATACTTAGAAATTATATAATATAAAAAGTGCTAATAGATTTCACAAATTAAGTAAGTAAATTAATCAATGACAAAGATTTGTATTAAAAATGTTTTAATTTATATTATAATTTAATTTATATTTAACATACATATATCAAATTTTATTTTTTTTAATTATACAATATCATCATACCTACTTGTACAATTAGTCCATTGCCCTAAGGTTGTCTTTAAAAGATTGTTTTCAGCAATAAGAGGGCGTTACTGTATTTATTAATATTAATATATTTATATCGTTACAGTTATTAATTGTCTTGTTTATTCTCTATATTGTATAATACAAATAAACTTATTCATTCATTAAAAATGTGAAAGTGAGTTAGTTACCTTATAATGCATTAACGGCTTAACTAATTAGTATGAAATTTAGTCTAATATACTATAAGGTATAGAGAAAGATATAGGCTACTAGTTATCTCGGTTAGTGAACATATACTAGACGCGCAGATGAAGTCGCGGGTAAAAGCTAGTTATTCTCTGATTTTGCGTCTTTCGCTAATGCTACGATAATGAATTCGCGAGAATTTGTACAATAATGTAATTTCAGTTTGTTTTTAATAAACCTGTTAGCATAGATGTAATCGAATCAAGTAATTTTGATTGTATTTCTTGTATGTAGCTACCTTATGCGATTTATCTGCTGTTTGTGAATGAATTTTAACAATAATTAAATTAAATTTTAATGGTTCAGTTTCAGTATTCTATTTAGAGGGGGGTGGGTACTATATAGAAATATCTATATTATGTAGTTACAATATCTATACATATATTGGCCCAATTACATACATATTAACTATCAAAAAGAAAAATCCGCTCGTAATGAATTTAGATATCTGACTGTTAAGGGCGATATTGTAATGGGTGATCACCGGGGGGAAAGCGATTGTTAGTAATTGAGACTTAGAATCCCATTGCTAGCAATATACCCAACCAGGTTGACCTCCTCGCGGTTCTCCCTGGAAACTATCATGGTTACTTCCTGATGAATTCATCATAATGGGCTAACTGGCCTGTTTTCATTCTCATCTATCACCCTTCACTGGTGCTCCGCCAGCGTATCTCGTTAGCGCAGGCGGGGTTACTATACCATTTTCACCCATCAAAAAAAAAATGGGTGATCACCAATATCCAGAAAAACTATATATAGATATCGGATATAATTATTATAATTTAAGTCGTTTGTTGTTGTAAAATATATATTTTCCAGGAAAATAGAAGTTTCTTAATAACATAAACTAGAAATCATATGGTAAAAATATAATACCTATTACTCACATAAATAACAATGTATGGCATAAGGAAGTCTATTATTAGTTTATAGGTGGTAGAGCCACGCTGTAATACCATATGGTATTGCAGCATGAATGGGCCGGCTCGACCGGGGAAGTTATAAGTGGCCGCACTTTTAGTGCGACCACATTCCGTATGGTGAGTGAGGGAGTCAATCCTATACCCATCCCCTTCCTTATCCTAAAATCCTCCCCCAACTCCGTCCCCCCATCTTTCAATACCATGGCAGTGGAATTTAAAAAAATAACGTACAATACCAGCAGCCATGTTGCTGGAGAATCCTCCCTCGAGCAACCACGCTATTCTGGGGGGGCAAAATTCCGCTTATGGGACCAAGGGCAAACAGAGCAAGACTTCTGCGTTTTGCTCAATGTGAGAATATTAGGGGATTCATTCAAACCTGAACGCTGTCCACCACCACCTAGAAACGGCGCGGCCGGCATTGCTCTTCCTCACGGAGACACAGATATCCCCTCCTAACGAAACATCATACCGGACCTACCCGGGGTATAAGCTTGAACATTGTTTTGTTTCGCGTGCCGGTGTATGTGCGTATGTCAGAGAGGATATCTGCTGTCGACGCCTTGGGACTCTTGAAGGTACGGACCTGTCCATTCTATGGCTGCGCGTAGATTGCAATGATCCCCGCATCTATGCGTGCCTATACAGTTAACACTGTAATTGAGCACGTCCAAATGGCTACAGATTCCCTGCTTGAGCAGATTCCTTCCGCTGAAGTCGTGATTGTTGGCGACTTTAATGCCCACCATGCCGAATTACAATATGCGGGAATCTGTTCATGATTTGCTTTGGCTTAATTGTTTCCTCGCCTACGCGAATCCCTGATGTGTTGGACCATTCACCTTCACTGCTGGACCTTCTACCACCCGCCCAGACAACTATGTGATCTCCGTCGAAGCCCCGCTTGGATATATCACTGTTTGGTGCGGAGCGAAGTGCCTCTTACGATCCGACTCTATATATTGTATCTTACCCATGGAGGCATTCACACTGGATGATCCCGACTTGCCGATTCCATTGCTGATATGGAATTATTTATTCCTAACTGTGGTGCCCGTCGGCAATTGGACCTCCTAGAACAGCATCTCGTCTGAAACACTTCCTATCAAAATCCTAACACCAGTGCTCTTAAAAGAAGTATAACTCTGCCTCTAGGTCTTTCAAAAGAGTTATAGCCACAGCGAATGAGCATATTAGTAGAATAAGAGACTATTTGCCCTCTGGGACTCGAGCTTTCTGGTCTCTTGCCAAAGCTGCACAAGGGAATTTCTGTAAGTCATCTTTTCCACCTTTGCGCAGGGAGGATGACTCGTTGGCCCAGAACGCTAAAGAAAAGGCCGATCTTCTTGGATCCATCTTTGCGTCAAACTCGACATTGGATGACGGGGAGAAACCACCACCGACCATCACGTGTTGTAGGAGCTCTATGCCTTACATTAAATTCACGCATAGCTCAGTGCGTAGAGCACTTTTCTCCCTCGAAATCCATAAGTCGAGTGGGCCTGATGGTATTCCTCCAATTGTGCTTAGGACGTGCGCACCAGAGTTGGCTCCGGTTCTTACGCGTCTTTTTCGGCTTAGCTACTCATCGGGCATAGTCCCAAAGTTTTGGAAGACTGCTCTGGTGCATCCGATCCCTAAAAACTGAGATCGCTCAGATCCAGCTAACTATAGGCCCATAGCTATCACTTCCTTATTCTCGAAGGTTATGGAATCCATCATTAACCGTCAACTGCTCCGGTACCTAGAAGAGCACCGGCTGATCTGTGATCGCCAGTATGGCTTTCGACAGGGACGTTCGGCCGGTGATCTTTTAGCTTACTTAACACACCGATGGGCAGTGGCAATCGAGAGTAAGTTAGTCTGGATATTGCGAAGGCCTTTGATCGGGTGTGGCATAGAGCGCTGCTTTCAAAGCTACCTTCATTTGGGTTGCCTGCGAGACTGTGCATTTGGGTCGCCAGTTTTCTCAAGGAACGTAGCATTAAGGTCGTAGTCGACGGTGCATGCTCTGATTTAAAACCTTTGAATGCTGGTGTCCCGCAAGGCTGTGTACTATCTCCGACTCCTTCTGCATATCAATGATATGTTACAGATAAGTAATATTCATTGCTATGCGGACGACAGTACAGGAGATACATTATATACCGGTCATGCAAAGAAATACCGATGAAATAGACTTGTGTCTGAAATCGAAACTTCACTCCATCAAGTTTCGATCTGGGGTGAACAAAATCTTGTCCAATTTAACCCCAAAAAGACACAAGTCTGCGCGTTTATTTGTCGTATCTCCTCACTTTCAGGGCACTTCCCTTGATAAAAAGTCAAGTCTAGGAATTCTGGGCGTTGATATATCTTGCGACGTCCAGTTTTGAGGTCATCTGGAGGAGAAGGCTAAGATGCTTCCAAAAAGTAAGGAGTGCTCAATAGGGTGAGACGATATTTCATGCTAGAACACCGCCTGAAATTATATAAAGCCCAAGTCAGGCCGCATATGGAATATATATTCCTTCCGTTAGACCGCATTCAAAGTCGGGCGGCTCGAATTATCGATAGTCAACGCCTTACTGTCCGACTTGACCCATTGAAACTGCGCAGAGATGTTGCGTCTCTGTGCATCTTCTACCGAATTTATCATGGGGAGTGTTCTGAGGAATTGTTCGGATTGATACCTGCTGCTGATTTTCACCACCGTACAACCCGCCACAAACTAAAGTTTCATCCCAATCATCTGGACGAGTGGCGGTCTTCCACCGTGCGTTTTTCAAGGCACTTTCTTCCACGCACAACCATTCTTTGGAATCAACTTCCAGCAGCTGTATTTCCGAACCGATACGACAACATAACCTTCAAGAAAAACATATTCCTTTTTAAAAGGCCGGCAGCACACCTGCAATGCCGCTGGTGTTGTGGGTGATCATGGGGGTAGTCACTTACCATCAGGTGAGCCGCATGCTCGTTTGCCCCCTGTGTTGTAAAAAAAAAAAAAAAAAAGTCCAATTTCCTCTTTCTCTTAGCAACACAAGTTAATACCTGAATTGTCAATGTATACGGAAATTAGACAATATACTATGTTGTTGCTTTTAAGCATTTGTTTTATTAATATATTTTTTTCCTTCTTCAACAGAACAAACATGAGGCCGTCGGCATCTCTGCTCTCCATTTATTTCTACGCGCTGTTGTCAAGCGGAACGTCATCGAGTGGCGATGACAGACGGTGGCTGGTAGCGTTAGTTGACTTAGTAGAGTTAGACTATGTGGACCATTGCGAGCAAAGAGCGACCGCTACATGGAATGAGCTCATTGGAAGTAGTAAGGGACTGTCTACAAAGGTCAGTAACAATTCTGAATATATCTAATAGTTAATTAATATATCTACGGTACAATCAGAGAGAGACTTTATATATTTTAGAAAAGTCTGCTTGGGTACCTCTGTCTTGTTTGTGTTTTTGCTATCAAACATGGCTGCTTGTGTGACTATACATTAGTTTGAAAAAAATTGATATGTCATTGAAATTACCACGTATAGAGTCTTACTTTATTTCCAAAGAATGGGAAAACATATAGAAAAACCTTGGGTGTTCTACGTGCTATTCGTATTTGTGGGCGACGGTTGCCACTTTTCATCAAGGGGGCCGTCAGTTTGTCTATGTATTAAGTTGTTTAAATAAGAGCTGGGTTTTTATATTCCAAATTTCTTAAAAATAAACATTTAAACATATACAAATATATAAATATGATGAGAGTGTTTAAAAGCATTTAACTTTTAAGACATTATTGGCAATTTTAAAATATAGGTAATGTTATTGTAGTGATCTTGATGATTAGATATATGAATGATATTAATAATAATGTATGTATGATTTAGGTAGGCCTAACGCATACATATCTTCATATTAGCCGTTAACTGCTCACTATTGAACATACCCCCCCCCCCCCCATAAAATACCTTTGTCATTGAGGGGTTTTGCCAGTAGGTGCCATGCTTGGCAAGTAGCTTGGCAACCGCAGTTAGACTTTGACGAAATTTTTAAGACGCTACACAGACGTACAATTAAGTTTACATCAGCTGACTCTATAATCTTTGAATTATCTACAATGCCATCTATTGAAATTATTTCGAAGTAGCTATTCCCATACAAAACTATTACTATTAAACCATTACTATTTTTTTGGTTATTTTTCAGCTGAGCTAGGATTTTTTCCTACTTTTTTCTTCTAAACTACCTCTGTGTTATAGCGGATAAAACTATAATAAAATATTCAAATCGATCAAGCCGTTTTTGAGTTTAGGTGAGACTAACGAACGTCGATTCGTTAAAAAATATATGTGTGTGTGGGTATGTGTATAGAAAATAGAAGTGTATGAAATAAAAGTCGAATAATCTTAAATATGATACAATATATTTTTTCAAACAATGATTATCGGAAATCTAAAAATATCATATTTAATTTTACATTGTTACTTTCAACGTAATGTATTTTGTTTCCATATTCGTGTTATTTTAAATTAAAATTTTGTTGATTTTATAAAGTGGCTCTATAGGTCAACGGAGTTGATTTTTAGCGTTATCATAAAAATGATGTCATTATGCAATGACGATGCTTAACTCGGGAATAAATTATTAGTAGGAATATAACATGTGATTCAACGAATTGTTTCTATCCTTGGTACTAGTTAGAGTAAGAGAAAAGTTACGCCATCTAGATAATAATTGGATAACACAACCCAATTCCGTCAAATTACAGAAAATCTATACTACAGTACTAATAGCATATATATATATATATATATATATATATATATATATATATATATATATATATATATATATATATATATATATACCAAAGATATATGCCCATGATGATTGGTTAAGCCATTTAAGTGCTAAGAGAACAAACAAACAGACAAACTCACTTTAACATTTATAATATTCATAAGGAACTTTTTTTTATTATTTGTCCATAAGTATTAATATTTTTACTTGAATTTGAAGATCGTTTGAAGACTTCTTTACTGGATCACAAGAAAAACATGTCATACGGGTCAGTTCGCTAGGTATGAGTATAAAAAATACGTAGTATTAACAAAAGTACGAATATACTAACTGACGTGTTCACTGCTGACAGGTAATTTTCAGAGATAAATTTCTTACACATCAAAACAAATGCTTGGCCTATAACTAAACTGTCATTATAAATTTGGCAATCCATGTTAATATTTTGCCATCTATTTTCTTTTTACTAGATACATTAATGATATTTTTAGATTAACAGTAACATAAATTAAGACAGTATTATATAACCGTCATGTGGTCCTGGCATAGAATAGGCCACCGCTTCCTTTCCCTTTGGTGTTGTAACAGGCGATTAAGGGAGGGCAACAGATAGACAGCAGCGTCTCTCTTAAAACATCTCCAAAGCCTAACTGCGGTTGCTACATTGCCATTATCACCCATTAAATAAATCTGTGATTATAGTACTTAATTGGAGCTAGTTACTTAGATAATTATCACTTATAGCATATCCATAAGGCACGGTAGTTTTTTACTTCAAAATTATATTTAAAAAACGATACTGATTATTGCGGCACGATTATGAATTTGTATATATAGTACAACTTTGTTTTTGCAGTGAAAAATAAATGTTATACCCATCTCTATGCAATCCTAAGTACCCGTGATAAAATAATGCTTGTTTAAATGAGGATTTATAATACGGGATAGGTAGTTGTCTTAAACGTCTAACCGTTGATCTTACGGTCGCAATTTGTCGTGTTTACACAAATCGTGTGGTTTGCTACAATGTTTCGGAATCACACTTATAAAAGCTTCTATTTCAGGTGTGACTTAAAATCTTTATTAATTTGATAGGTATTTTGGTAATATTTTCAGATTAAAAACTAGATATAGTTGTTAATCTACGGACGTATTCATAATATCTACTCGGAAACCATTCGTTTTGTGCTCAGGTGCGAGTGAGTACTTATAAAAAAATTTAAAAACAAGATTTTAAAAAGTCACGTAATAAATAAATAAGTAAAGTAATAAATAAAGCTTAATAATATAATTCTGTCTTTCTAATCATATTTAAAATAACAACCGTATGAATGAGGGTTTATAATGTAAGTTCGATGAATGCAAATGATACGACCGTTTGATATACGGTCGCCAGATTATATTTATACCTACTTGTGAAAACTTTCTTTTTGTAGCGAGAATAAAATAGTCAAAGATGTATTTTCGTGAATGAAAATGGCATAGTAACCAGTACTAGTAAGTGAAAATAGGAGAGGATGAAAGCAGGCCAATTGGCTTATAGTGATGAATTTAACAAGAATTAACCACTATAATTTGCATGGGGAACCACGTGAAAGTCAATCTGATAGGGACATTGCTAGCAGGGGAGCTTTTAGACATCCATTACTAATAATCTCTTTCCTTATTATGTGTCACAGTTTGGAGGATGGGATATAGCAGAGAAATTTCAGGGTACGGAGATATAACGCTGTAGATGTCGACTTGAGACAAGAATATTGTCAAGCACGTCACTATTTATTTTTCTGAACCTACATAAATTTGAAATAGGTTGGTAGCTTACAACTCCACTATCCTCAGGAATGGCATCACATGGAGGGTACTATAGGTATCAGAGTGTATACTCTGTGAGGTACATTTTATTGTTTATGTACTCATATAGGTGACAGTTACTACTTTTCTTCACATGGGTCGTTAGCTTGTTTACCATTATGAGTATGATAAAAAATAAATTACGGTAAAATAACACCCGTGTGAATGGGGTTTTATAACGTACGATGGATAGGATTGTTCTAACCGGAGGCGGCTGTCTGCGGCACGCTCCATCTATGGTCTGAGTACATGTGTAACGCACTTGTACACATATGCCAATCTCAAGAACCGCCGAAAGAAAATTGGATAGAGTTTTACGACGTGTATTACTTGAGGAAGCTTTATGTTTATTAAACACTAGCTACTGTTGAAGACTTCATTTGCATGGATAATGAATAATATGCAGTTCTCTGTTCATTTCTTTTTTTTTTATATGTACAGCACAATATAGATAAATAGACACCCAACTTCTTTTGAAGTTGGCTTAAAAGTAAGTAAACAAATATCGACCTGATAGGGTATGTTACTGGCATTGAGATAGTAGTCCGTATTACGAACAATGGTAGTTATACGATTAATAAAAGCTAAAGCAGTATAAGGTGTAAATGGCGTATTTGTGACACACTTCAAGCGGCGTACCGTATATACTGTAAACATAAGAATCGGGAACACAAGACCGTGTGAATGTGATTAATTTACACTTTGAAACATTTAATTTCAAAGCATTATGTTCATCTTATACCACAACGTTGTCAATATGTCGCTGTAGAACTTTATAGTCTTCCATAATACCGACAGCTACGAATAGTGTCAAATCGTCAGCAAACATGAGACATTGAGCAGTGCTAATAACATGTGGCAAGTCATTGATCATAATTGAAAACCAAAAAGGTCCCAGGGTACTGTTCTGGTTTACTTCGGAACCGGTATCATAGGATTCTGATCAATAACCATTTAATTGAACGTATTACGAGCGATCGGAAAAATATCTGATAAATAATTTTAAAAGCTTTGGTGTAAATCCTACTTCTGAGAACTTTTTTAATAAAATATCATTGTGAACGCGATCAAAAGCTTTTTTGAAATAAATTTTGCCACGCCTACTTGCCAATTATGATCTATTTCTGTAACTGTACAATTTATAAAGTTTATCAGATAAGCGGTAGTCGATTTATCAGGTCTGCTGACAGTCTGTTAGTTGAGACTGAACTTGCTTAGATATAAGTCTATTTAGAATGGTTTTATATACTTTTTCTAAAGTTAAAAATACAGCAACGTGGTTTGAAATTAGAGATTTACAACCATCCTTTGATATAGGTGTAATTCTGGACACTTTCCATAACTACGGAAGTATACGAATAATACCTGTTCGGAGAGCTAAGTTCATTATATGTAGGAGAGCTTTCTCTAAAACTCTTATAGCATTGTATAGTATATTTGATAATAAATTAGTGTATTTGGTAATAAGTGAATGCCGTCAAGTCCAATGGATGTTCCTACCTTCAATCGTTTTACTGCTCGTTGCAGATGGGCTAGTGTTATATCCTCGATGGTGACGCGAGCATCGTATTGGCCTTGCATTCAGCCAGTTTGCCAGACCTATTTTAGGTTTATCGTCTAAAAAACTAAATTCAAAATTTTTGTCATTTTAAACCTAAGCACAAATATCGCTTTAATGTATGTGTAATATAATTTTATTTCTGAAATTTCAGAATTTTCTGAAAATAAAAATATTATTATTGTAAATTTAAGGTATATACCTTAATAGGTCGGCCACCATGCGGTTTCCTTTGAAAATCATCGTAATTAATTATTGATGAAAGAGTCATGATGGGCCAATTGACCTGCTCATCCACAATTATCATACATTACTTGTGCTCCGTTAGTGTACACAGATAGCGCAGGCGGAATCCATTCCATTTCCACCCAAAAACAAAAACAAATCGACTCATTTTCACATTTTTAATATTAGTTACTATGGTATTACTAATACTCGAACATTTTATAAAATATCGCTAGACTCGTGTATGGGATGTTGAATTGAAATCAAATCCATCCGGTTCACTTTTATCAGTATTACCTGTTTGATTTACGTGTTATTTTATACAAATGTTGAATTGTACCGTCGCTATATATATAATGGGTACTATATTTTATTTTTGGAATTCTTTGAAAAATCTTGTCTACTGATATTTTTGATGTGACGACGCCTCAATTATCCGGTAGACCGCTGTGAGCTTCTACGTAGGTACGATAATACGTTGGATTTAGTGGGAGACGGAATAAAAAATAATAAATACCACATTTTATTCATATGTATTAATATCTGTAGTTTCATTTTTTTTTATAGATTCATTATTAGTATACGTTGACGTAATACCTATTATGAAGATGATAAAAACATATCGTTAGCCCATCCTGGCGAATTCATCAGGAATCAACCATGATGCATTCCAGTGAGACAGCATGGAGGCCGACTTAATAGACTTTATTGCTAGCAATGGGTTGCACTGGTCTTTTAAATTAACAATCTCTCTCGTCAATATGTACAATAAGTTAATCAATTAGATTGAAAAATTTACTAACAATTTGATCAAATTTTCTTCTACAACTTTTTTCAAATTATATATATATATATATATATATATATATATATATATATATATATATATATATATATATATATATATATATAGTTCTTTCCGAGTAAAGTAGACATATAAAAATGTATGAAAAGCTTTATATGTAAATTTAAACATTTGTCAACTTTTCGTTCTTTATTTGTCTAGTACGTAGGTATATTTATTTTTACATATACATAAGATCCGTGCCTAAGACATCGCTATTTTTTATGATAAGTGCTGTCGTGGAAACTCCAAATGTTACATCGATGAATAAATAAATTTAAAATATACTGTCCACATTTTCGAGAAATATCTTATCATTAAACATAATAGCGACGGAAATGTATCAGAAATTTATTTGAATGTAGGTGTTTATGACATACATGTACTGCTCAGTCATGAGACGCGAATTTTGGCACGTGACCTATAAATAAATTGAATGTACCGTTCCCTTCTGGGAAATAAATGCGACGTAAATATGTATCACGTTTACAGAAATTCATACTAATTATTATAAATATCAAAATGAGTTTATTTATATGTTAGCTGTTGCCGTCTTAACATCTAAACTAATTGTTACGCACGTAGTATTTGGAATGGAGAAATACATAGCAACTCTTTATCCCCGTTAGTCAAGGTCGAAATTCATGAAATTGTTAAAATTAATTGAACTCTTGAAAGCAGTTATCATAAAATTTTATAGTGAAACTTTTCATTCTAATAAATGTGATATCTCATTTTAATTGTGAATGTATTGTGGGTGCATTTATGTTTATGTATATACTTGTACTAATACAGGGATATGTGTACGTTTATATAATTTATCATAATTTTCGTTCGCGAACATTATATAATTTCATATTCATTATTTCAGCTACTCCTATTACGCTTAAAGGGATAACTCTATGGGATAAGTCCGCCATTGTATGTTAAACCTTTTTTATCAGTCTAATGTAAAGTATGACAATAAAAATTTATAATAGCAGCAACAACAACCACAACAATTATTACAACAAGAACAATAATATCGAATTCAATATTTTACTGAACTAGGTGTTATCCTGCGGAAGTCCATATCACTGTTTTATTTAACTAAAATTATTTGGTTTAATTCTTTTATCGTGAGTATGTGTGGCACTGCCAACACCTAATAATTGATCATTACTATCAGAAGGTCCATAATCTTCCATATTAGCCATTACTCTCCGACTGACATTTTGTTCAAGCACATTTTGTGACTCTTGTTTCTCCTTTAAACAAGGCATCTTTAGGCAAATTATTAAATCGCTGCTAGCAGTACAATGTTAACCGTTTAGTACTGGAGTGATAAGATTGTTAATAACAGGCACTAGCGCCCCATTGCTGGCAATGTGCCTCCTCAGGTCGACCTCCATGCGGTTCCTATTGGAAACCATCGTGATTTATTCCACGCGAATTCGTCATGATGACTCAACTGACCAACTTTCATCCTCATCCCACTGATGCTCCACCAGTGTATACTGATAGCGCAGATAGGGTTACTATTTCATAATCATCCATTAGAAAAAACCATTCGGCACCTAAACGGCAAATGACGAATTTTAGTTGCCGTAAAAGAATAGAAAATTGTGCATACTGAGATCAGACTGAAAGCGGCACTATAGTGTGAATCCGGCCCTAAGCGTAATATAGGATATGATATTCTCTTCTCCATTTCAATACATAAGTGTTACTAAATTTTTTGACATTTCTATAAGCCATTAGGGTACAAACAGGTAATTATCAAACTTACACATTTATAATATTAATAAAAATATCCATGATGTGCTTGTGAATAAGGGGCGGTTGTTTCTTTACCTACAGTGAGTTGCCAGTTTATTAGTTTATAACTTCGTATAAAAAAATATAATTAATGTTTTAATATATTATGCATTCAATATATTGTTATATAATTCAATGTTTATAATAAAACAAAATTATTAGTTCTTTAGTTCTGATAAATGAACAATCGAAATTGGATTCGATACTATAAAATACAGTTTTGCAATTTGCTGCTGTTGTTTTCATTGGCTTATGGAAATTTAATATTTAAATAAGTCATTCAAGTACTGATATGTTATTGGTATATAAATGATGTGAAAATAATAGTATCGTAATTTCGATTAATTGTACAATTTAATTACACATTTATATTGAACATTGACTGATAAATTTTACTTATTAAATAGCTTTTATCCGCGATACCAGATAAAAAGTACATAGCGTATGTCTTTATCCATATGTTTATATATATTACAGATCATGCATAGTACCTGTGAGTTTATATGTATATATTTATCGTACATATCATAACAATTGTTTGAGCTCTTAAGGTATCAAAAATTGACAAACAAATTTACTTTCATATTTATACTATAGTCATTTTAATGCATTCATATTTCTTTTATAACTTTTGCTTAAAAAAATATATTTTCTTCTCCGCTGAAATCGCATTATGAACTGGGTAATATTATTACTTCAGTCGTTAACTATCCATTGCTGACATAAGCCTTCCCCATAAGGCGGGATAGCAACCGCAGTTAGGCTTTTAAAAATGTTTTAAGAGAGACGCTGCTGTCCATCCTTCGCCCTTCCTTAGTCGCCTCTTACGACATCTACGAGAAGAGAAGGGGTGGCCCATTCTATGCCGAAGCACACACGGTGAACTATTATATAATATTAATAAAAAAATACTAAACAAAATATTTATAATTAAGTTTACTTGAATAACAAATGTTTTTATTTATTATTTGTACTGAATATTAGAAAATATATTATTAAACGAAAATTTCTTTGAAGAACCGGCTCCATTTTGCTTAATAAATAGTAATATCCTCTGTAAATAAAAACTAGAACCTCTTATAAACCCTTCTTAACTATTACAGCCTGAGCAAACGAAAGATACTTTGTGGGCAAACAAAATTTCTCTTTATGTTCGCCTCGTCTTGTCAGGCCTTTAAGTCTGACTAAAGCCCGAAAATTTCATGCAACAATACACACATATTTTGCAAGTATACGAGCATAGCTTACATAAAGAGAAATTATTCCCGCGGGCAAAATTTCCAACATCTGGGAACCTTTAGTGTTTTGTCACTTTCTTTCGAATTAAGATAACAATTTATTTATTTATTTAGCATCACCAACATAAAATACAGCGAAACATTTCGATACATTACACTAGTGGATTACGGCTTACTGTTCTTACATTTAGAGGCAACCACAGTATGCTTTGTGTTTAAAAAATATTAAAATAGAATTAAATTATTAAACAATTAAATGGCATCAAATGAATAAAAACAATTTACATTCACCCGATGATACCCAACAATTCAAATCACACAAATTAAATTAAAAATAAAAACAAAACGTAATGGTGAGGTACGAGTACATTACCTTTTTAATTTAGACATGAACAGAGTGACTGTCAAAATGAATATCAAGTTCAGGCTTGGTTTTGACAATATCATTTATACTATACAACTTTTTTTTTATGCTACATAGAATGGCAAACTAGCTGACGGCCCACCTGATACAACGTGATAACCATCACCTATAGACATGAGCAGTACCATGAACATAACAGAGTATACTGTTTCGCTTATGATATCTACCCCCCATGCGTTGCCATTCCTGGGGACTCAGGTGTTATTCCTCTGTACTCTATAAATTCACTGCCATATCCCATCCTTCGAACCGAAACACAGCCATGCAAACACAACTGATAGAAATACTTAAAAATAATTATTTTGTAAATGTATACACATTATATGTAGAAAACACTTGTGTGGGCATCGAACCTGTAACTATCTGAATGTGAGGCAGTATGTTTAATTACTAACCACTAAGGTTGTCAAATTAGGAGAAAATTCGCGTATTAATTCAAAATTATCTTTACAGTTGGAGAGAGACAAAGCATTCGGGATATTCTCGAGACAGCAAACGTCTGAAGTAAAAAGAGGTCTAACAGGATACACTCTAGCATCGAACGATGATGTATTGAGACGAAAGGTCAAGTTGCTACTTCAACCTGGGGATACACTATTGGAAACGGAACAATGGATCAGAGTGAGTTTCATTTGTAATTACCAATTTATGTATATACTATTTTTTACATGCAAATTCATCCGTATGATCGAAATTTGTTGACTACTCAGAATAAGTAGAAATTACAGAGTATAAATGTATAAAACCCTCATCATCATCAACATCCTCATAGGAACCGTTAACTGTCCACTGATGATCATAGGCCTATCCCATAAAGGTGTTGCCAGCAGTTGCTACGCTTGGTATGCGGGTTGGCAACTGCAGTGAGGCTTTTGGCATTGTTTTAAAATAGACGCTGCTTATCTCTCGACTGTGACACGATAATGAAGAATAAATATATTCTGCCCTATATGGGCATTTAGTTTATTTTGTTGACCAATTGGATACATACTTAATTATTATATTATACAACAAAGTTACCAAATTCAACGATATTATACAATAATTAATATCGTTGATAATAAATTATAAATATCTCATATCAAAATAGTATAAAGGAACTTTTGCGGTGGACTTCATTCATCCGTTTATCTGCCTATTACAGCGTTACATCTAACTAATAATGCTGTTTATTTCAAATTTGGAAAATCTAATATTAGGCCACTGAATGAATATTTATAAATGCATGAAAAATTATCAAAATTGCACTTTTGTACCTCACTATACAATAAAATATATCTGTGCTTCCTTTTTGAAAAAGTGCACAACTTAATTCCGAAAGCAACCATCAAGGGACCATAATAAGCTAATGGACAGCTACTCCATCCGTTCGATTTGTTCTATGTAGTTTCACCCTATTTAATTTGCTGTTATATATTATTATATTAGGAGTGAAACTCTGTGAGTTCTATTTTAAACCCATATAATTGAATACAAGGTATTTTAATTAATTCAGTTAATTAATACTACAGTAATAATATTATTATATAAAATCTATGAAATACGTTACAAACAAGCTGAGTTATTATATAATTAGTTTCTTTTTTTATAATCTAGGGATACTCAAAGGAATGTATATGTACATAAGAATAAAAAATAACGCTGGCCTATTTATCTTATTCAATGTACAACATAATTAAAACGATATAGCACTCATTAATATTTTGTTTGATATTTTTATTCATAAAATAAAAATTGTAGATATATCCTATTTATATATAGAATATTTGTATTTATTAATAATAATAAATAAGAAAGATTGTATCGATGGATGAAAGAAAGTTGAAGACCACTCCTTCCTTTCCCGTGGGTGTCGTAAGAGGCGACTAAGGGTGCTTGTGATGAAGGGATCTGCAGCAGCGTTTCTCTTAAAAGGTCTCCAAAGCTTAAAACTGCGGATGCCATTCCGCCTGCCAAGTGTGACAACTACTGATTTTGCTTGGCTTATGTTCAGCAGTGGACAGTTAAAGGCTGATATGATACATATATACACACATGTATATAATATCAATTTCATCGTATTTGTTGCAGCTAGTGACATTTGGTGATACCGCTTTGCATCGACTGCGTTTCGCCACTAATTATGATTGCGGCAATAACAGGAATTGCACTTTAAGAGGTATGTAATTTATCTTTTATCAAAACAAATCGTAAAAATCTTTTTTATTTAATTAGTATGAATGAATTTATACAACTTAGAATGGCAAACACTAATAATAAAGTACCGCGTTCATGATTCACTGTTCATCCCAAAGGTTAACTGGTAAAGGATGCTACTAGCATTAAGTCCGCCTTTTTATTATATTTTCATTTGCTCAATTTTTTTTTATACAACTTAGAATGGCCATCAAGCTGACGGCTCATCTGATGGAAAGTGGTAGCCGTCGCCTATGGACATGAGTAATACTATGGACATAACAGAGTATACTGTTTCGCCCATGATATCCCCCATGCGTTGCCATTCCTGAAGACTCAGGTATTATTCCTCTGTACCCTGTAAATTCACGCCATATTCCACCCTTCAAACTGAAACACAGCCATGCAAACACAACTGCATTATGGTTGAAACACGAATGGGACAGAGGTACCCAAACAAACGACTTTTGTACAAAGTCTGGTAAAAATTATGTAAAGTATGAATTATTTACTAAATATTACAAATCAACTATCTATTGTATTTCTACATACAATAATGAAGTTTATTTAAAAAAAAGATTATCTCTGTTGTCTATCAAAATAAAATAAGTACAATTCATAACTCCTGTACTCTCAAACAATAGCTTCAACTTGTAATGAAATAATGTTCCGTCTACATTTTTCTATTGGTCAGAGATATAACTTTTTCTATTTTTATTCTGAAATAACAGTGCAAGCGTTGTTATATTTTTGCTATAAAAGAATAAAGCCATTTAATATATTATTAAAAATAATAAAAAATGTTATTTTCATTTAATATTTATTATGTTTTGATTTCTTTACTATTATATTAAAAAAAATACTTTTAAAATTCAATTTATTGTTCGCCAATTAGAAAATACAACATAATTACTTTCTTATTTAAATAAAGATCTTATATAAAGATGAAATTTTATTGAATTTTCTATATTATATAATAAATTTTGATTACTCATTAAATACATTGTTCTAATCAATGTCAAATATTTAATTAAAAATTACAGTATTATTTTATAATTAATTTTATTTGGCACTGTTTGAATTCTTTTTTATGACACGATTCATTATTGTTTGAAATTACTACGAATTTGTTGTCACAAATACATAGAATTCTACTGTTGCCAACATACATAGATATGCCAATGTATGCATTTTACATAACAAATTATATTTAAAAATGATTAAAGTAATAATACTGAAGTTGATTAATTCAGAAATACGAAAGATGTCATGGCTACCACAATATATTCTCTCTCTCTCTCTCTGAAGTTTATAGATATATTTTTGTTATTAGATAGCTGTTATCATTTTCAATCAAGTAGGCCATCAACATATTTTTTAACGGTGGTTTTCAGGGAGAACTGCATGGAGACCATTACTGACGATTCCTTTCCTCCTCATCAACATATTTGCAATACCATGTATAAAAACATTTGTACCATAAATTTAGATTACGTTCCATAAAACAAAAGAACTTCAACTGCGGTAAAATCAGTTATTTTGATTTAAAACTAAACTGCTGAACCGATTTTGATAACATTTCTATAGTATATTCTGTCCTTTCAAATAAAATATAATTTTCCAAATCGGTTTATATCTGACGGAGTTATGAGGTAATAAACATAAAACAATATAAACGAATTTAGAAACTTTTCTTATTGAAGTGGATTTAAAAGACAATACCTTACTTAATTCTTAATTAATTTTCTAAATATAACCGTGTTAATTTTACAAGAACCTGAATATTCCATAATGCCATTTTAATTTTATCACTTCAAACTTTGTCTCATAAAAAAGTTGGGTACTTTTTCTATTTAAAAATGCAAATATAAGTCGATATCCTGAATTTCTGATCTTAAAATTTAAATAGAAAAAAAAACTTTATTTATAATTTGATCACGTTCCGCAAATTAGTCTTACTTGAACAACTTTACATTAAAGGCGGCACGAAATCTAAAAATACGGTATTCTTTGCCTATTTAAGAAAGAAAATAAATTTTAGCCGAGCGATCTAGTTAATGAATTAATGAAGTCAATTAACATTTCTCGACCTTTGTCGATCAACAAAGTAATTTAAACCCTAAGACAACAATTTTATAGGACCGTAATAAAATACGAAAACAAAACTAAAAGATAAAACAGACCCGAACGATACTATACAGAATAAATTTTCAAGTCATTACAAATTTTATAAAGTGTACGAAACTTTCTAATAACTCCATGCCCGGGACGAATGGTCGTGTAAAAAGTTAATTTCTCATTCTGCGCCGGGGTAATTTTTTCAAAGAAAAAAATACTGGAGATTTCACGTTCGTAATATAAATGGTAAGGTGTTAGTAAATGCTATTCGAGTGGTCATTTTGATGAAAGGATTATAAAGGAAATTATAATATATCTCAGTAGATTTAATAGAAATTTACACACAGAGCCAAACTTTGTCTTTAATTTAAATTTATTATTGTTATGAATTATGTATTTGAATTAATTAAAATTATTTAAATAAATTAATTTAAAATTTAATGCACAGTGAAATTCTATGTACAATTGGCGGACTTAATACCGGACGGTGTTCTCTACCAAGCAACCATTGGGCAAATAGAAATAAGTAGGTGCATTATTGAATAATGTAAATGTAAAGTAATACAAATTATATTCATATAAACATACACATTATATGTTAAATAAATAAATATATACATATAATAAATACATACATAAATAAATACACGAATATTAGTATAACAAAGAATTAACTGTATTAGAAGAGTGAATAAAACAATAAATGAATATGTCAATGAAAAAGGTTAAAAGGGGTATCATTAGGGTCATACGATACTGTCTACTATTGGACATGGATCTCTTCTCATCGTTTGTAAATAGGTTCAGTATGTAATAATAATAAGTACCATAATAATCATACTAATTACCTGATCCTCAAGATGGATACATTATATTATAATCAAGCAACGTACATCTGTGGTCATAGCTAGAAAATCCAATTCCGAAACAATTTAGATAAGTTCGTTTACTAAATTGGCCCGACTGAGAAATGAACCCAGGATCTCATTACAGAAATCGATGTGCCTGTCTATTGCAGTGGCATGATGGTCGTCAGATATATAGTTTTATGTCTAGATTTTCTTCTCCTGCACTGTTTTTTTTTTCTATGGGTGAAAATGGTATGGTAACCCCGCCTGCGCTAACGGTATACGCTTGCGGAGCACCAGTGAAGGGTGATAGATGACAATGAAAATAGGCCAGTTAGCCCATCATGATGAATTCATTAGGAATTAACCATGATAGTTTCCAGGGAGAACCGCGAGGAGGTCGACCTGGTTGGGTATATTGCTAGCAATGAGATTCTCAGTCTCCATTACTAACAATCCCTTTCCCCCCTCTCCTGCACTGTTGTACCATGCTATTTTAGTTGCCTTTTATATCATCTTAGAGGTGAAAAGTGTTGATGATAAGTATAATTCCATCACCAAAGTGATGTGATAATAATATTCAATTCTTTGGGGCTATAGAAGATGGTTACCATTTATCATCAGGTGGAATCTTAGCTTATTTATTAAGTCCTATAAGGAAAAGTGAGTGTGACATAGTGAGAGTTATTTATTACTAAGAATGCAATGATGTTGGCATCACTGAAGTGTGTCAATCATTTATTTTACCAGAATGATGCAAAGAAATTATTTATAATGTAGTTAAAAATAAGGAAAATATATTGACCCACGAGAGTAGTAACAATTTACAGTATTTATTAGAGGTGGAGATACTAACTGTGGATAGAAAAATCAACAAAAAAATTCAAAATGGATCTCTTAATATAAGTGGGATATCATATAAAATAAAAAAATATTACTCGTACATATTCTACATAATCACCATATCAACCATTAACTGTCCACAGCAGAATATTTGCCTTCCCATAAGCAGAGTTTTGCCCTACTTGGCAGGCGGGTTGTCAAACGCAGTTAGGCTTTGGTGGTGTTTTAGAAGGGACGCTGCTACACTTCCTTTGATCAATAAGTTCACTACTACGTAGTGTAATAGTATGTAAATGTCGTAGTAAAGTATCTGGTTGTAATAGTTACGATGTAACTAATACAACAAGATCCAAATATCAGCACACTCAAAATAAACAAATAATACTGGTCGGAACTTGTTAATTATATATATATAAAGCAATAAAATTGTAAAATCCGATACCAAGAGGACTAAGGGTATTTTGCGAGCGGTGCAAACGGGAGTGCTGGAGAAACCACTGAAGTTTGCAACTTTTAATATAAATGGTAAAGTATTGGTAACTGTCGTTTAGGTTAACTTTCCAATAGATGAGTGTAGCAGATGTTGCCATGTTAGTTGAAATAGCTTTTAGATATTATAATGACTTACATGGAATTTAAAATTACTTCTATTCTACTCGTACTTGAACTTCTTTTAAACATGTACAGACTTTTATTTAAAAAAAATTGTTAGATTATCAAATGAGGTCTTGAGTATTTAAAAATACTGCAATTAATACTTATTGACATATAAGATTTATATCAAATTTATTTATATCAAAATATATTACAGATATAATAATAATGTGTCTCAGATAATGGATTATCTAGAGTTTCAGAACGTGGGGAATATTGAATATTGTTATGTATCGTCATTATATCAGCCGTTAATTGTCCACTATTGAACATAGTCCTCCCCTTTGAAGGGTTTGCCAGTAGTTACCACGCTTGGCATTGTTATGTACACTTTAATGGACTTCGAAAAATCTTCAAAACTTTGTAACTTTTTTTTGTAAAAACAATGACTATATTACAACGATTAATTAATCAATTAATTTAATGTTCCTTCTTTTCTACAAAGATTGTTTCCTTTAATATTTTTACGATTGACATTCATCAGAAGTTTGGACTTCTAAACAATGCATTCACGGAATTCAATTTGATTCTCAGAATTTCATTACTATTCACACGGTCGACCTATGAACGTCGCGGTGAACTCCCGGCATCCAGTTCATTACCATTTTAATGGCTGATTTGATGTAAATATAAGCATTACCCTATAAATATTCGACGATAGGTATTCGGTATTACGGTATATATATTACATAAGCTATAAATTTACTACTATTTATGTTTTACTGGCTGCTTTGTCTAGATTATATTAATATATTTTATTTCGTATTTTAATAGAATAGGAAGTTTCGTCGGTATCAATTCCTTGAGCACATGTCAGTGCGTTGGCCATAAAAAAATTTTCAACCTCTAAAATTGCTGCGGTATCGAAATTACGTGACACTTCTCCTAAGATCATTAAAAGTATTAAGATTCAAGGAGTAAATATTTCTAACGACATTCAGCTCCGGAGTAATTTGCACAGATTAGAAATTTTCAAGAAAACTAAATCTATTTTAACTATTTGTGATTTCTTTACACACTACAATCACACTTTACAATCTTTTAAATTAAGAATTTAATTCAAAGGAAGAAGACATCACTTCTATAGCTATAATTCAGCTTGTTAGACGTTTGGCATTTTTATAAATAACCACATTAGGATCGTGTGCTATTATAGACGCCCGTCCATCTAATGGGTGAGGATCTAAAAAAGGATCAGGTTTAGGTACTCGTAATCGCTGAACTTCTTAGATTTATCTGATTTCGTTAAAAATCGACATTAAAAGTTCTCAATATTAATACCAAAGCGTAAGAACAAGAGTTAACAAAAAAAAAAAAAAACTATTTAGATTTTATTAATACTAATTTAATAATTTCGTTTCATTGATTCGAATAACTACAATGAAAAGTAACTTAATACTATCGTTGCATTTATTTCAAACTATTTTAGCTTATTATATTATTGGAAATGGCAATGCTACTCCTACAAGAACCATTATCATGTCCTTGTCCTATTTACAGTTACTCGTATATCACGTCTGCATAAATGCATTAGTTATAGTATCTTTATTATGAATAGAATAACCATCGTGTTTGCCTTTTGTATCAGATACAGTTACTATGCGAATTCGTGTGCATTGTTGTTTTAGAGCAGAAACAGATAAGACAATGAACTGACTCGTGAAATTCCAAACCACAATTTCAAACATATTAATAGTAAAACAATTGTTATCTAGACGACTAGATATATTAACAGAAATAGACTTAAGAAATAACACTGCATTTATTTATACTTATATCAACTATATTTATTGTCAACAGAATTACAAAGCAGCCTGGCAAGACAGCAGGACGAAGAAAAACTTATGTCTATGAAGAAGTCTTGGGAACAAAATTTACCTAATATGAATGAATATTTGGAACAAATTTTGCCACTACTAAGAAATGCTTCTAAGGAAAACAGTAAGTGTATTTATTTTACATTGATTGAGTAATTAACATCAGGTATACAGTTATCCCTCATTTCACTGATGTAACATTTCGATTCGAGTGCTTAGCTTTCATTAGAGTAATTAATAATAATGTTGTATTAGTTTTACCTAATTGATATCCGATTCGAATATTAATTAATTTGCACAATCTAGATAAGAGTAGTATAGCATAGACTCGAATTTGTCCTCGAAAATTATTGCTTACCACACTACAAATTAACTACTATTAATTTACTACAAATTAACAATACAACTAAGAGTGTTATATAGAATTGTTATATCCATATAGGTGAAATTCTATGCAAAAACTCTAAAATCAATAGTTATTCAAAACTTTTGCGGATATTAGACAATAAATATTTTTAAGGCATTATAAACATTCAGTTTTTATGTTATAGTTTTTTAATATTCTTTTATATGATGGCAGTTTTGAAATAATAACCAAAATGAGGGCACAATCTATAGCATTCAGATTTGAGAAAATTAGTAAAGACTTCGTTTTTAAATTTGCCGCTTATAAAGAAAAACATATCTGGAATAAAATATGTGTAACCAAATCTGAAGGATAAATAACTACTATAATCACTGGTTATAATAATGATAATGATAAGAATAAAACAAAAGATAAATCGGATATAACAGATTTTTTATATAATTTTTATTCAATCAATCAATAAACCACACACTTTTCCAATCGCCTTTATTCAGTATAATACTATCAATATTAAATAATTTGTGTTTACATTTACTTATATTTCATATTCTGTAAATTTCAAAATTTAAGATCTTACTAAACTTCATCAATAGCAATAAGTTTTAAGGAAAGGAAAATAAAATATTCGTCAAAGAATCTTAATCGAAAGGGTTTGTAATTATCTCGCAAAATAAGGCATTATAAATGTAAACTCTAACCCTTTTAGCTAATGAACTTTTAACGACGTTTTCATGGTAAAAATACGATGGTTTATTATTCACTTTATTTACATTGTTTATTTTATAACCAAGTATTTTACTGTAAATAAATAATACTCAACTTCTTGTCTATTAATCTATTCTGATAATAAATAAAGGTAAAAATAGTTTTTTTTGTATTTTAAGGAGTAATTTGTAAAAGTATTAAAATAAAAAATCACTAATAACCTACACTAAACAATTTTGTAATTTACTGTTTTAAATATTATTATTTATTTCTAGGGATCAAGAAATAACCGAATTCTAACAAGTATTTTCGTTTAAAGATAATATATAAGCATACATTATCTTTATCATCATCTCAGCTATTATCTGAGTTGTCCGTACGGGGTCACCACTAAAGAATCTTTCTTCCCCATCGGTTGATTATTGATTCTTCGAACTATGTGACCAGCCCGTTGCCACTTCAGCAATTAACTTCAGATTATGTCGGTTATTTTGGTACTTTTGCGGATGTCCTCGATTCGGATTCTATCACGCAAAGAAACCCCGAGCATAGCCCTGTCCATATAAGCTTACGATCTATCTAATATAAGATATTTAGAAGCCTGCAATACTAGGCAAACTTTAGTCCCGAAAAATCTCACACCCTTTTTTAAAGATACATTTTCACACTATACTAACGTTTTTATTTCTGGACTGTTTTTTGCATTACATTATTATTATTATTTTTTTGTTTGCATTGAATTACATTATTTTATTTTTATTTTAATATTGTTACAATCCTTTTATACCACAAATCTTGTAAAGTTGATCTCCGAAATGATACCCGTATTTCCATTTTTCCATAGATTACGATACTGTTGAAGAATATTGGGATTTCCTTGTTGAATACGAAGGAGCTATACTGAAGGCCAGGGAGTTATGGGATAACATAAAACCTCTCTACATAAAACTACATAAGTACGTTTCACTCAGATTGAAAGGGGCAGATGCCGTTGGAAAACCTTTACCTGTCCATTTATTGAGTAAGTACTTTGTACAAAATTTTTTACTTAAATTTTAGATATACAGTTTTGAAACTTGTATTCACTGTTATATTACTGTTTTCCATTTAACAAATATATGCATGATAATAATTATTGTTAAAAGAATATGTTTTATACTAAAATAATTATATACAGTTACTTTTTTAATTTCTTTTATGTCTCTTAGAATGACAAACAAGCAACGGCCTACCTAATGGAAAGTGGTAATCGTTGCCTATAGACATGAAGAAGTACCATGGACTTAACAGCGTATACTGTATCGCCCATGGTAACCTTCATGCGTTACCATACTAAGGTCCAACATGTTATACCTCTATATCCTGTAATTTCACTGCCATATCCTATCTTCAAACCGAAACAGTTGTGCAAACACAACTACTTAACGACAGAAACACAAATGAGACAGAGGTAACTAAGCAGATGATTTTGTGTAATGTCGTCTGCTTGGTTATTATGGTATAATTAATGAAAATCTTATTATTCAAGTTTACATTAAAATATTCACGAACATCTTTCTGTTAATAAAAGTTATAAAAACCAACAGCAAAATATCTCAAGTTTATAATCGTTTTCATAATTTACTTTATACAAAATAACTTTTAAAAACTTTCGACAACATAATACATAATATACGAGCCGCATTCACTGGTGTTAAACCACACAAGTAACAGTAAGGCGATTTGCCAAAGACGTAAAATATTTGGAGCGCTATACCATTGGGAATACTAAACTTCCTTGGTAGGTTGTTCCAGAACTTACTACAATAAGAAATCTAATTTTCTCGCAGAAAAAGCATTTGTAGAAAAATTACAAGTGAAGCAGTGGACTTTTCTCGGTATATCTCTGAATAAATGGCTTTGATATTTCTTTGCAGAATCTTTAAACGGAGACGACTGGTCAAATATTATAGAAAGTTTATTACCCCAACATCCTGCTGTATATCAGAAAGTTCATGCAAATCTTCAACTCAAGGTAATTATATTATAGACGATTAATAATACACATTATACTATACAAAATCATGCGTCCTTTACAAATATAATTATGCATTGCTATATTGTGTATCAAAAAGTGAAACTATTTATCAAGGTTATTAAAGGTTTATTAGCTATTACATAAACGTTGTCGAGCCTAAACCCTTCGCTCTCAGAATATCCTCCTATTACATATTCTGAGTGTGACAGTAAGGCTTTATAAAATTGATATTATGTTACATTATATAGCATATACAGATTGGCCGTAGACTTGTTCTAGATCTAGTTTCTAGCAAGATAGTTTCTATTTATGTAAAGTGAGTCACTGTACTTACGAATGAAAGTATAATCTCGAATTATAATGATGTTTGAATATATGGATTATTCATAACTTCATATAGAAGAGCCGCATAGCATTCTATGCTCTTTACATAAATAGAAACTATCTTGCTAGAAACTAGATCTAGAACAAGTCTACGGCCAATCTGTATATGATATCTCGAATACTGGAGTAGTTATTTGTAAATAGAACTCGTTAAAAGTTCCTTGGTTGTATATTCTATACAGATCTTAAATAAGCCTCTAAAGAAAAGAAAACGACCGTAAAAGTGACCTATATAAAACTGTAAGCGATTGAAACTCAATAGGCTTAGAATCCCATGAGAATCATATGGCTAGCTTTTGTTTACTGTTTGAATTGTCAATAAATTTTTGATATGTGTCTTGTTAAATTTTTACCATTTTGTTCTTCTTTTTAATAAATGAACAATACTCTATACTTTTAAAATGATGTAATAGAAAATTAGATAATGTGTAGGTATTCTTTCTGAGGAAGTTTTTTTTGGCAACCTGGCTGGTAATCTGGCTATTTAAGATACCGCTTTTAGACAGCAAGGGGTTTGATCCCAGGAAAATACAATTATTTTTGTTTTATAATAACTATTTGAATATCTACATATAATTAATATGTATATATTTACAAACAAAAAATGAATTCAAATATTTCATTTTGCTTTTTAATATCCATGGTACAAGCTCTGTTTAATTTGAGATTAGATGGAGCTTTTTAATTTGTCCAGTGTTTTTCTTTCTTTAATTCTAATTTCTTTTTTTATTATATTAAAATATCTTTTTGCAGGATCTCGGAGGTATAAATGCATTTAAAACAGCAGTTAATCTGATTCAAGAATTAGGATTAGGTGAACTAGAAGCAGATTTATGGACAGATTCAATATTTAATAGCACTTGTCCTCCAATTTTGCTGGATTGGTGTAAACCTAATAAAGTCCGTGTCGTCTCATGTAAAGATGTTAGTTTCGTTAACTACGTCGAGGCTCATGAAGCTGCTATGAAAATTAAATACAAAGAGATCGCTGCACTGCATAGCAATAATACTTATATACTTAGAGAAGCTCCTCGTTATTCTGGTAAGTATTAAATCTATCAGTGCTATATTTTATAAGAGAAATGCAAAACTATCATTTATCTAAATTATCTCGTTATTACAACCAGGTTATACTGGCCGTAGTTACGAGTAGTCTAAGTTTGAGTCTCGTCTCGTCTCTTATTAAACATAAAACATACAACGTAAAAGTCTAAAAGTCGATTTATGTGTTTTTTGATTTAAAATTGTTAGAATGGACAATAAAATATTAAAATATTTATTATATATATATATAGGTATATATGTTGTTATTGTGAAATAAAATGAAATATACAATAATAATTAAATAATATTTATAGCAAATTAATTTCTGCTCATATATCGCTGTATTGACAACACTTCTGGTTGTAGGCCATTAGACTGCGAAACTATATTTAAGTTAATATATATCTTTTTTACTATAGTTTATACTTATATATATTTCATTTCAGCAACATTCGAGGCTATTCCTGGTTTCTTTTCACTCCTAGCACTAAATCCACATGCTTTGAGTAGAACTGGTCTGTTTCCATTAGACATATTTAGCTACAATGCAAACCACCATCGTCTCGTTCTGCAACTTATAACAGCTTTGAGAGATTTACCAAAGTAAGTTTTATTTAGTGATAGAATCAAAATATAATTCTAATTTCAATTTAAATTGATATTATGTAATTATTATCTAAAAAATATGTATCCTTAAATTTATTTACTTTCAGATTAAATTTTTATTTAGCTGCTGATGAGTGGAGGTTGAAAGTGTTGATGGGATCGATCCCGTACTCTAAAATAGCTAGTAGTTGGAGAGAGTTTCGCAAAGACTTTTCACTTTTAGAAACATCCGACGTCGATCTGCTTGGAGATCCTTATATTTTATTCAACAAACCATTTATAGGGTAAGCTTTAAATATTTATAATTTATTGAAAAACTCAGACGCACATAAAATAACAATTTAATTAATAATTATTTCACAATTTACAGAAAATTCATGGGCTTAATTCTAAAGTACCAAATCTACCACTCGTTTGCTGAAGAACTGATATCTGATGAATCTGATTTAGTGCAATATGTCAGCGAAAATAATGAACGAATCAGGTAAAAATATATCTTTTTTTTTATTTAAAAATAAACTGTAAAAATTTATATGAAAATAAAAATATATATTGTCTACAGTGACACCATGATGCAAGGCTTTGGAAGAGTCTGGCCGGAAATGGTTAATGATTTATTAGCAACACGAGAGAATGGATTGGAATACACTGGACTTACAGATTACTACCGGCTGTTAGATGATTACTTAGATAAACAGTTGGATCCACCTAAAGATGCTAGTGATGATTATGTTGAACCCATAACGGAACCCATACCTGAAGAGAATGAAATTATTGAATTTAGTGAAGTAAACACTGAACCTACTGTCAAAAAAGGTGGCACACATGAAGATTTATTAAGTAATGTCATAGATACAGGTTTCAATGATCTACTTTCAAAACTTGACGCGGAAACGTCTACAGTGGGCGTATTAGAAATCAAGAATCCAGTACATTCTGGGGACCAAAGTAAAGATACAAAAGAGGCATCCTATAATACTTATTGGTGGATAGGTATCGCGGTCGCGTTAGCTATAATAATAATACTAATAGCAATAATTGCGAGGAAACGTCACAATCACAGAAAGCAATTGGAACGACAGAGAAGAGAAAACTCGCATGCCTGATTTGAAGAATATCGGTTCTAGAAAAGGAACCGATGTGATTTAGGACTAAGACTAAACTCTAGTGAAATCATGCCAATGCTATATTTTTCAGAAAGTGAGTGAAGTCTAGATATCGTTTTAGTGTTGTTCATCTATATTTCTTTACAAACTGCTATTAGTTTAAAAATTGTGTTCTATTTTGCATGTTATAATTTATTCGTATACTGAGGTGCTCTAACTCATTCACTATCATTGCAATTATGTTGTTAATAGTATTTGTACAGTTTCATCTTACCTTCCATTAAGGATATAAAATTGTGCTAGATAAATAAAGTTTCAGTAAATATTTTTGTACATATCACAATTTGCAAGATAGTATTATAAAGATTGTTACCAACAGTGTCTATAGTAATTGTACAATATGTACATTATAGTTAGGTGTAATTTCGCTGTGCCTTAAGCGTCTCAATTTCTAATAAGTAAGATGCATAAATGTGTTATTAGAAATGAACTTTGTAAAAAATAATTATATAATGTAATTTTATAAAATCTCTATTTACTCCGCTCTGCGTCTCTTAATTTAAGTTTTGTTCAATTTAAATAAAAACATATATTTCATATTTTAAATTTAAAACCTATGAGTTTTCAATTTTATTGCGATAACCAAATATAGAGTATTTTTGTTTGATGTCTTTGTAATTTTAATTATAAAATGTTATATTGAAATTTATCATTAAGTTTTACAGTTAATGAAGCATGAATTAGTAAAAATTTGTGTCAGATACGAAAGAGAAATAATAAATGTTTTAAACATTAATGTATATTTATTTATAAGCCCCATAATTTAATCCCATCTGCAGTACGACAATGTAGTATAACGAGATAAGATGAGTAATAAGGTAATTAGTTATCAGTAGTATTAAATTAATTATGAAACAAGTATTTACGATATGTGGAGATATCGTTATATTACCCAAAACCTCAACCTAATAGAAGTAGGGCAAAACTTCTAAATCAAATTAGCATGAGATAACTGAATGAGCGCACCAATTTGTTTATTAGCGGGGACGTCAGGAATTCTGCGAACAACAATCTGTTAAAGGTCCCACCCCATCTGTTTGGTAACAAAATGACACATTAGTCCCGTGAGACTTCAGTAGTGAAGCGTGGTTACGTTATTTGTCTTCACCCTTAATTTTCTTAGTGAGCCAAGTGCCAGAATTCACCGCACCATGGTCTATTTATTAAAGTTAGTTACGATCCCCTATTATTTTTATTGATTACTAGCTGTCCGACCCGGCTTTGCACGGGTAGACAGAATTTTCGAAAATAATATACAGCCTATGTTACTCGCTGATAGTATAGGTAGTAGTATTTTTTTTATATTTAATTAAGTAGTTATTGACTTTATCCATTATAAACAAACACAAAACATATTTTTTTTCCTCTTCATAATTGTAACTAGAGAATAATAAAACATACCACTTGAAACTTTATTGTTGAAGTAACAGAAAATAGGTGTCAAAATATATACTGAAAAGAGTATGAAAAAGAAAAAAAAAAAGAATATAAAAGAAAGTCGAGATCTCTACGAAACTGACAATAATGTAACATTAATTTTCCTATTAAAGCTAATATAAGATACTATATAATTTCTATTATGTGTCCGTGTGAAGTCAGTGCGTATGGATAGTATTTAATAAAAAGAAAATATGCACACGATTGTGATAGCTACTGGAGTAGTCATTTGTCGTTTGTAGCTGTCATGGTGAACGTTATATTAGACACAGCCACATTTCGGCGTACTAGTTTATATATTGATACAAATTCAAACTTTTATCTCTCTTTCTCTCTCTCTCTCTCATTAGATATTTCATTCATTAGTTGAAAATAAATAACGAATTTTTCAAAAACAGAGTCAAATACAATATTTTGTTTTATTGTATTTAAACGATCTAATCGCTGATAAAGAAATTTATGTAATTATAGGCTAAGGGCCTATAATAAATTTATATATTGACGTCAAATATATTATATGTGCAATATAAATATTATTTATATATAATCTGTAAAATCTTTATTATATACCGTCACATATTTATTTATTAATTAGTACAAATATGTGTACATGGCGGACTTAATGCTAAAGCATTCTCTCCCAGTCAACCATAGAGAAGTGTAAGAATACTCGAATGCGGTACTACTAATTACTGATATACGTATTTACATTTGAATAATAATAACTGTATCGCGTATACACACAATGTATGAATTATGTACATTAGAATCACATTAAGGTGACCTTATTGTTGAAAACAATATTTTCAAGGCAGTCCTTAAGGAACAGAGTGCATAATGGAGCAGGTGGATAGACAAAACAAAAGAATGCGAAATGAATATTTTTTTTACAACACAGGGGGCAAACGAGTAAATGGTAGGTGACTACCGCCGCCCATGGTCACCCATACCACTAATGTCATAACCTATAACAACCTAGTCATTAATACGTCATTAATATCATCATATCAGTGCAGTGCTGATCGTATAATCACTATCAATATTATTTGCATAATATATTTTATAATTAAGAACTACATACATATATGTAAGATATATGTAAATATATGAAAGTGAATGATACCAAATTAGCTGAAAGTTGTCGCTAAAAATAATAATAAATTCTACAATTCTAAATGTAGCTGGTAAAAAAATCTCAATAAAATATTATACTTGTATTATTAAATGAAAATACGAGTAAGTATCAGTAAATTATTTATAAAAATAGCTATTCCTTAAATAGCTTGTCACAATGTCATTTCAAATATTCAAATAAAAGGAACGATATTTTTAGTATAAAAAATAATTATTAAGCTTATTAAAATAAACACCGAACAATTTACCGGTCATGTATTTTTAGTATGTTTGCGCTTACGTGATTTATTTCTTGGCGGTATAATAAAGTGGCCCATTTTTATTGTTTACGACCTTGTTTTATGAAGGAAATCATGTGTGCCCTTGTAATGCTTTGTTATTTCAGCTTGGCGTAATGTCGAACCCTTTAACAGTTCAAGTTTTGAGATTATAATATAGTCTGTTTCAACAGAATTTAATGATAATGTAAACAAATTAGTAAATGACTCGACTAAAGGACAGTCTGCTGGTTTTGTTAATGGGTAAAAAAAAATAGTGCCTTCGTCTGCGCTATCAGTATACAATGGTCGAGTACTAGTCTGCTAATGTTCAAAAGTATTGATTGTATTACTTCAAATTTGAGAGAGACGTGAATTTGAATCCCGTCACATTGAATTTTATAGGTAGCTAAATTTTCAATGCAGTATTGGCGAAAGCAGGCATACGCATTAAAAAAATACTTTCAAATTTTTCAAAATCGATTTATTTCCCTTCTGATCTCATACTTATTTTGTCAATACTCGTATTGTCAAGTTTTATCACAGGTTATATAAACTAAAAATACTTTTTTTATTAATGAAGAGTCCCGCGATTGATCACTAACTCACGTGATTGAAGCAATGATGTGGTCTAGATGGAGCTCGCGGGTCCACTAATACCCTATATACACTTGCCTTAAATGTATGCAGATTGTATTTGGATGGAAAAGCAATAAACAAAAATACACTGAGAACGTACAGTGAAATAAAAAAAAAGATATGTCCTATTAGGTTCAATGAAAAAGGTGTGCGTAGAAAAAATATTAGTTTGTCACGAACGCTGTCTATAAATTTTCCCATTACATTAAATAAACATGGATAGGTAGTACAAAAAGCTCAAAAACACTTCGCATATCGTATACGAGTCGGTAGGTAAAAGGTACTTTTACTTTAGAATAACTATAATATCACTTTTTCATAATATGTAATAAAATGCTCAAATTATTCCTAGCTCTGTACAAAACGAAAAACGATCTGTAATATCTAATATATAAAATTCTCGTGTCACGGTGTTTGTTACCAAACTCCTCCGAAACGGCTTTACCGATTTTCATGAAATTTTGTGTGCATATTCGGTAGGTCTGAGAATCGGCCAAAAATTTTTTTTAAGGGTAACCCACCACAAAAAATTTTTTTTTTATTTTTTTGACAAAATTTTTTATTTTTATTTAAATATGATTGAGGATTGAAAAATACATACAACTTTAAATTTTCATCGTTTTACGATCAACCCCTGTATTTTAATCGCGATTTTTATATTTCGCAAAAAGTGGTAAAACAACGTTTACGGGGTCAGCTAGTTTTTTATACAATACGATTAAAACATGATTATTTGGTAAACAAGTTAACGAACTACCTAATGTAATATTTATCACCTATAGACATGAATAGATAAGACCACGGACAATACTGATAACAGGGTGATGCTCATCATACCCCTCATGCACTGTTATTTCTAAGACGTGTTATGTCTCCGTATTCTATAGATTCGTGCCGTATGGCCCCGGCATAGAATGGGTCACCCCTTTTCTCGTAGGTATCGTAAGAGGTGATTAGGGGAATAATAATAGTTGAGCAATGGACAATAGCGTCCCTCCTAAAACATCACCAAAACCTAACTGCGATTACCAATTCACTTGCCAAGTATGGCAACTAATGATAAAGACCCGCAATACGGAGAGGTGTATGTTCAGCAGTAGATAGTTGTCAGTCAGTCAGTCAGTACAGTAGCTGAGATGAAGATGATTCTAAAGATTCACAGCTGTATTTTATTTTCAACCGACTTCAAAGAGGACGTTCCCTATTTGGTTGTATTTTATTTACTTATTAGATTTTTTTATACAACTTCGAATGGCAAACAAGCTGACGGCCCACTTGATGGAAAGTGGTAACCGTCGCCTATATATAGACATGAGCAGTACCATGGACATAACAGAGTATACTGTTTCGCTCATGATACCCCCCATGCGTTGCCATTCCTGAGGACTCAGATGTTATTCCTCTGTACCCTATAAATTCACGCCATATCCCACCCTTCAAACTGAAACACAGCCATACAAACACAACTGTTTCACGGTAGAAACACGAATGGGACAGAGGTACCCAAGCAATCGACTTACTTTATATTCGGTTGTATTTTATTTATGTTTTTTACCTCATATTCCATCATTTGTAAATTTATGTGTAAAATATTTTTTTTTTTATCTAAAAGGATATATTTACAGATTGATTTCGTAGAAATTTTAACGAAATTCGTTCCGTAGTTTAGTTTTAAAATCAAAATAACTGATTTTGCCACAATCGAACTCTATTTTTGTTGTGGGACCCAATCTTAATTCATACTAAAACACAGTCATGCAATTACAGTTGCTTGACGGAAGAAACACGATTCAAATCCTCATCATAGTTTTGAATTATTTATTTCTGGCGTTAATTTTTCACATCCATATAGATATTGTAAACGTGAAATTGAGTTTGTTTGTTACCTCTTAGCACTTTAATGGCTTACTAAATCGGCTTATTAATCAATCACTATGAAATTTAGAATATATGGAATAGAAAAGGACTTAGGCCACTTTTGATCCCGGTCAATGACCTGTCCCGATCATGCGGAAGAAGTCACGTCTAAAATTTTGTAGTACGATACATATTTGACGTATTATTTACAGTTTACGTTAAAATAGATCCTACCTGCGCTATTGGCTTGCGATTGCGTTGGCGGGGTACCGGTGAGGGATAAATGAGGATGAAAGCTCAGTTCGACCATCATGTCGAATTTACCGGAAATAACCACGACAGCTTTCAGGGAAGTATGTGAGTGATGATTTTGGTCGTCTTGATAGAGTAATATTCCTAGAAATACGATCGC